GGTTTCTCTCCAGTGTGAATCCTCTCATGCAGTTTTAAACACTGCGCTGTAGTAAAAGTCTTTTCACACTCAAAGCACATGTACTCTCTCACACCAGTATGTATTTTCTGATGCTCTTTCAAATGTTGTAGACGTGAAAAATTATTTCCACACAAATAACATGAATGTGGCTTCTCCTTTGTATGAACTCTCAGGTGCTGCTTTAGGTGTGAAGGTCTCAAAAACACTTTGTCACATTGATCACATGCATACAGGTTCTCTCTAGTGTGAACATTTATGTGTGCATTAAGATGTGCTAATTGTGCGAAACTCTTCCCGCACTGATTACAAGTAAACGGTTTCTCTCCAGTATGAACTCTCATATGTACTGTAAGTAGTCCTTTTAGTGCGAAACTCTTCCCGCACTGATCACAAGTGAACAGTTTCTCTCCAGTGTGGATGTTCATGTGTATCTTAAGGTTTGATGATAGTGAGAAACTCTTCCCGCACTGATCACAAGTGAACGGTTTCTCTCCAGTGTGGATCTTCATGTGCTCCTTAAGGCTTGATGATCGTGAGAAACTCTTCCCGCACTGATCACAAGTGTATGGTTTCTCTCCCACAAGTGAATGGTTTCTCTCCAGTATGAACTTTTATGTGACACTCAAGACTTGTATTGTGTGATAAACTCTTTCCACACTGAGTGCAGGTGAAATATTTCTTGGCTCTCCTTTTCTTTAAATCTTTCTGTTTGATTTGAGAGGAACTCAAAGGTTTTTTTCCAGTTTTAATATGATTTTTCTCCTTAACTTCACTCAGTTCTTCATTCAGTTCTTCACTCAGTTCATTTTCTTCAATCAACACTGCAAATAAAAGTAAAAATGGTTCAGTTTAGTAACTCGTAAAAAGCAGAGCGATGTGGACATATAAGTGAACCCTGATGTAACAGTGGAAATTAGACAATTGCCACCAACCTGTTTCTTCTTCAGTATATTTGGTATATTTCATTCTGCAGGGTTCTGGATCTGTCATCTTCTCTCTGTCCTCTTCAGTAAACTCAGTCTTTGCAGATTTCAGCTCTTCCTGATGATTAGATGCTCGTCTTCACTTGTGAACTGATGGAGATATTCCAGCATTTATTGCTGAACTGATGAATGTGTGATTGTTGTGGGAGGAGCTTCACTGAACATGAATTTCTGTGTGGAAGAAGCAGATTTCCTCTGTAAAAAAACAATGTACAAATTTAAACATTTATGTAAGTGAAGCAGATGTCCTCCAAAACGTTATATTTGAAGAGACCAGAGCCTTACAAATATAAAGTGTTGGCTCTTTGTAGATAATTTTATTACTGTATTAAAAGTAATAGCATCAACACAAAGAGCACATCAATTTAAAACGCGCATTCAGTAACACTGCAATCAAACATGTGCTAATTCACACAATCTATGCAATTCTGTTTTCCGCATTTCCATTGTTAATATTACTATCCATATTTTATTTTTTATTCTTCCCCAGTATTAACATATAAGAATAGATCTGGTCTAGAAATATAGAAAATAATACAATGTAAATTCTTCCAAATACAAATAACAGTAAGAATGAAAAATTAAAGCATAAACACAGACATTTGATGA